GCTGAGCAACCGCTCGGTTTGTATCTTGGAAAGTGCCTTAAACCGCCCAAGCACCAAGAACCGAAGTCGCAAGGCACCCAACCAGAGGGTCCCAAACTGCAGGTATCTCCGGGCGGCTCCCGTGTGCCAAATGGATGTGTGCAATCTCTTCGACGTAACATTAGGTTCTCACATGGTCTTTTGAACTCCGCAATGGGAGGAAAAGGTACAGTCCTTGACATAATCATGGAAGTGGGGATGGCACCACCTGTTTTAGTCTATTCGGATTTCATGATCATCCTTCGGGGCAATGCCATCCCACTTCCATGATGATTTCAGGGAGTGTACCAGTTGCTCAGTTTGGCCACTAGATGGACGTCCCTTCTCTTTTTCGTGCCGATCTTTTTAGGCCTCCTGGTCCTCCTCCGTGGCGACAAAGGTGATGGCAAGGCCCTGAGAGGCGACTGGTCGTGTTCATTGGGGCTCCTGTTCTCAACCTTTCAAACCTACACAGGTCGAACACCGAGAAGAAAGCTGGAAAACGGTCGGGTTCCTCATGATCGGACCAAGCGATCGTCGCTTTCCGGTTCATGCTAGCACCGTGGCGGTCCGATCTTGTAGCCATGGCGGTGCTCTCCAAATCTATTGGAAGATCAAAGAATCAACACGTCCTTCTTGAGAGTCCTGCTTGCATCTGCATCCTGCTTGCACACCCAAGTATCATCCTTCAATCAGTAGCAGGTGCAGTCTAACTCTGAGTGGCTGATCCATCCCCTGAATCATTGCTACCATCCGTCTGAGGCTGAAAGCAGCCACCTGTCTTTGCTAAGGGGGGACACGAGCTCTCTTCACCTAGAATCAGCTCTAGCTTCGCGCAAGCGGAAAGCGCACCCAAAACAGAAACAAGTCAAATGTTCTGATTCACTAGTCTGCTGTTTGCAGATGCTCTTGTCAATGTCTGGACTCCTGGACACTCTTTCGACCCCCCCAGGTCCAATCTGCCGAGAACGGCGCCGCGGCGCGACCCACGACCCGCGGCGAAAATCACGGCGTCCGAGCGAAACGGAGACGTCCGAAACGGCGAGACGGTCATCGCTTCGGGTTGCACCAGAGACCGAAGTCGCATGGAGGCCGGCTTTTCGGGTTCAAGTGGGTCAAGTGAGTCAAGTGCATGATTCTTTGATGCTGGAACCTGTCTTGAAGCTGGAACTTGCTGGTGCCTGGAGAGGTCTTTTTTCAGCATCTTAAGGCTGCAAATGGCTTCCATGCAATGGTTTTGATGTGGAAACCAACCCAACGACTCAATTCCTTCCCACCGGATTTCGGCCTTGGTCCCAAAGCGGCCAGCCCGCCCCACACGATGCAGGTAGGAGTCGCCTCAGAAAAATCCGTCGTTGGTTTCGCGCGAATGAACGGGTGGAGGTCGGTTCAAAGCACCATGTTTACAATTTCAGTTCTTCGGTCCAAATCGGATTTTCCACATGTCCGGCAATGACACATCACGTACTGTCTTCCCCGGGACAGCTCCTGCCCACGTCCATCCGAATGGTTCAGCCCATTACGGCCGAGCCTCTCATGTTAGTAGGGAGAAGAAGAAATGCAGTTTCTACTTGATAACCTTGCTTCATTTCTCCCACAACATAGACGGACCTTTCTTACCATATAAAATCAAGTTCTTGCTGGAAAGAGGGAATCTCAAACACCTTGACAGGTCTTCAGGCGGTTCCGCCAAAGCTACCACCAACAGTTGGCGCACCGTAGTACGACGGACAACCACCATTTGACCACTACTGACCTGCCTTCAAGGGACCAGATGAGAACCGAAGAATATGATCCTCTAGACTCTAGACATCTCTGGACTCTAGACCAAAAAAAACAAGTAAACCCCAAGGTGGCCGGGAATTGGGGGTCTCATTCTGAGAAATGAATGGCACGGAATGGAATAGCATAGAATGGAATGAATGGAATGAAAGAATGAAAAAATGAATGGAAGGAATGAATGAATGAAAGAATGAAGGAATGAAGGAATGAAGGAATGAATGAATGAATGAACGAATGAATGGAATGCAAAAATGAAAGAATGAAAGAATGAGTGAAGGAATGAAGGAATGAAGGAATGAATGAATGAATGAAAATCACTTCACACATCTTCACACAAGCCGTGTCGCTCTCATCAGGCATATCATAGTTGATGACGATGTTCACCCTTTCGATATCGATACCTCTACCGAAGAGGTCTGTTGATACCTGAGAAGCCAGGTGGTGTGAATCCCAGACACGCTGGAAATTAATCTCAACACGGAAAAGTTTCAATATGTCAATATGCACGATGATGATTCAGTTCAAAACATTATAGTTGAGGCTCCTTACATCAAGAATGGTCGCCTTGGAAAGTCATAATTTGTCAGTTTGAGGTGCATCCTCATGCAGGAAGACTACCACCCCAACCTGCTACGCTTGGACTATGTCAGCATCCATGTCTGTTTCGCCACTCAATAGAGACTCTCCTCCAACACTATGCCCTCAGCCCTCAGGTATGCATACCCCATATAGTTCTTGTTTGTCTTGCCACCCATCGCACCGCGGGGAGATTCCGTCCTGTCACATGTGAAAAAATGGGGTAGCACTCCAAAGAATCCTCAAATTATGGGCATCACCTCCTTGTTTCATGGACATCCCATCAATTGCGGTACTATGACTCAGCAAGAAAGACTGCGCAGAAAACCAAGGAACCATAATTCTCTTCTGGAACTCTTTGAACTGCTTATACCTCGCAATGCGGTCCTCGCAGTGACGCACCATGCGGACCGAAGGATGGTTGGGACAGTCCAACTAGCACATTGGGAGGCGCAGTGGCAGTAGTGGTGTCCGTCGGTTTTGTTGGGTTGTGTGTTGTGGGACGTTGTGTAAACGCCAGAACGGACGCGAACAGGAACTTGGTGGCTGCGGCTTTGCACATGGCCCCTGCAGCACTGCAGCTCTTGGGCACCGGAGACCTTTCCTTTGAAGCTGGCCTTTCTTAGCTCTGAATTTGAAGGGATCTCCAAAAAGTAATCAGGTTATCAAGTCTCGTTTTCGATTCATCTACAATGCAAGCTGATGATCACGGACGCCACATCCTCCCGTTCAGCTAAACACAAAACGAGGTTGAACATCAGCTGGACTGCGCCAATTTTTTTTATCTGAAAAGGGACAAAGTACAAAACAAACCACCTTAAGCCCTCTACTTTTGTGGTAGGTTGTTGTGTAGTCATTTGGCAGACTCACAGCTTGAAGCAGGCTACTGCGTTTCTTCTCATCTGACCCCGCACGGACACAGGTAGGGGCTGCCTTGTTGTAACGTTGTGTTAAGCAATGGCAGCCACACATGACCAACCGTCCAATCCCGTTTGAAAAAAAACAAGACAGAAGCAAATGAAAATGCAATACCCGTCAGCAACATGCGCTGTACGCTCCTAGGAAAAGAAAGCGGAAAAAATAAACGAACAACATGCAAAAATAAAGCGAAAAAATGCGAATCGAAAGCGAAAAAATAGTTGTTTAGCAAAAAAAATAAACACGCAAAGCTACATGTTTGTTGCTTTTTTGTTTGCTTTACCTGTTGCTTGCTTTTTTGCTTTGTTTGTTGCTTAAAAAATTGGCTCCTTGTATCTATGGCTGGCATGGCGAACATAATCGTAACGGTTCTCACTATTTGTGCTGGTTAGCTCGCAGAGTCTTCTGCAGGAAGCGCGGCCTTGAACACTCTTCCAGTGGAGTTGATACACAGGCCACATACTTGCTACATGGGAATGTCTTTGCTGCTCGTCCTAGTGCCGGTGCTACATCACTTCCCCAGGGTGCCACGCGTCCGTCTTTCGGATCATTACTGGGGGAACACTTCTCGTCAGACCTGCACTCTGGGGAACACTCCTGTCCCACACTCTGGGGGTCCCACACTCGATGTCCAGAGCCGGGCTCACAACAAACTCGCTCACTACTGGGTGGCACGTAGTTCACGAACTAGGGTGGGAGCAGAAAATGGACGAGATCCTTTTTTTGAGAATCTGACTGTAACATGCTCAATTCTAACATTCTAATGACTGTGAGTTGTCAAATGATTGCTTACACACCAAACCTGCCCAATGCACGATGTAGGACAGTTGTCTTTCCCAAGTGCAAGAGCTGATTTATGGGGCAAGGAAGTTGTTTGAGCAGCCTCCTTTGCCATTTCATCAGGGCAGTAGGGTTGACCAAAACAAAGCATGCCCCAGGTTGGCGTGACAGCAAACGTCCTCCTGCTGCAGCCCAGAGTGGATGGCAATGGACGGGAAATTGCATTCCACCTGAGCCGAGCGACAAAGCATCAGTGGAGCCTTGAAGACATTCTCCCGAATCCAGTTGTAACTGCCCTGGGATTCCAACCGCCATTGGCTTTCAACGGTCTGAATCCTAAAGAAACCCTGGCTTTACACAGTTTTTGCACTACAAAACCAGCTCCACCGAACCCTTTTCCTTCTTCTTCTTCCCTTCGTTGAACGGGAACCAAAAGGGTGTCCAAATGCGGCACTGGGAGGTCTCCCAGCGTGCGCGGCCCCGAACTCCGCGTGTGCTGCGCAGGAGGACACCAGAACATCACCCGGTTGGCCTGGTCGCCTTCCGAGAAGACCGTTAAAAAGGTTCGGTTGGCCTGGATTGGGAGTCTAAAAACCTCAGAAGGCTACTAAATCGAAGGTGGTTGGATTCCTATAGAGATACGGTGTATAGTATATATAGAGAAACCTCTGCCATGCTATTGCCCTCACGGTCAAATCTACTCTTTGATGTCCGTCACCACGGCCGAGCATGGCTGCAGGCAAGCGTCCAAAAGCTTGTCCAAGGCCACCGCGCGCTGAACCGACTTCACAAAAATCACCACCTGCACGTCCAAGCTTTTTCGTGTGGGGATGCTATTTTCACATCAAAACCACACTCCATGTCTAGATGAATAGTCCAGGAATCCGACGCGAAGCTCCAGGTGTGATGACCCGCGTGTGTTGTTTAGCAAAGACACTTAGCTATGCCTGAGTCCTTCTGATCCTGAGATTCCATGTTACCCTTGCAGCACCTTAACCTCATGTGACTTATAGAATTATGTGTGTTCCAAGGGTCTGTAACGTACCATGCCGCCACAGCAGAATGATTCATTGGCTTCCCGAAAGCCATGGATGCTGCTGTTCACTCTGCAGTGCACTGCCGTAGCACAGCCCGCGCGCATTCCACCCATTCTTTTTTGGGCTCAGGTGTCGAAGGTCCTTTTGCCATGCTGATCCCTGGCGCGCAGTGCAAGGTCGTAGAGTGTGCCACTCGGACCAAACTGTGGATTAAGCTATATAGGGAGACCAAAGGTTTTGAGCTACAAGGGGTCTGCTCTTCCGTCTGACTCGGGGGTCTCCCGATTCGAGCGACCCGGGTCGCCCAAACCTGCTTGGCCAGCCATTTCGTGAACGGACAACATGTTGAACTTTTCCGTGGACGGACTAGCCATCCTCCCAACAGATCGAAGAGGAAGGCTAAGGTTGTGGAACGTCTGAAACAGATCGAGGGTGCGTGGGAAGTGACGACTTGTCAAGAACAACACAAGCTACAAACAGCGTAGAAAGTTTTTGCAGCTCTGCAGCTCACCAATCAAACCCCTAGAACTCTGCACCCCTGTCAATTGTCATATTATTCCTATAGACGCCATTGTGCCACGAAAACACGTTGAAAACACACCTTTTTTGCGACAAATGAGATGTACTCCCAAAAAAGAATCGCATGGAACCTGAAAACCACTGATTTGTGGAGGGTCCGCCAGTCTGTCTTCCTTGCAGGTCCATGCCAAGCCCGGTTCCATGTGGGTCTCTTGGGTGTGTGTTCTCCCACAGCGCTGGGAGTTCTTCCGATCCCAGCCGACCCTCCGATCGTGGCGACAAGACACGCAAGGACACGGACGCGAAGCTGCACGAAGGAGTTCGCAGCTTCTTGGCAGCTTTCAAGACGGTTTCGGAGGGAATTTGGTGATCCAAATCTACTGGGGGTATGTTTGGGCCGGGCGACCGCGAGCCTGTTTTCAGTGCTCAGATGTATAGGAAGCCAAGGCACTGCGTTAGATCGCGCAGAGCTCGGATCATCTTTTGATACCTCAGATCTGGGCCCTAAGAATCCTTGAAAACTACACAGCAAGAGTCTGCCATAGCAGGGGTCTGGACAAATGTCCGTTCCATTGCTTCAGGTCCGGTGCTGGCTTGAAACGGTCAAATGATGCACCACTTTCCTACATGGAAATCAGCTTAGGGACCTGGAGGGAGTCCACTATAGAGGACGAAACACGTGTTGTTCGACGTTGTTCCCTTTACGGCAGGGAAAGTGAGCTCTTCTGGCATATTCTGGGCCATACATGGCATCATGGTCACCCGCCAGGAAATTGGGCTGCTTTGTCTAGGTGCGCAATCAAATGAGGATCATTCAAGGATACAAAGGTACACATAGGCAACCAACTTAGCAGCGATGGCCTCCAACCTAATAACAATGGCCTCCAACCTAACAGCGATGGCCTTCCAACCCACCAGTGATGGCCTCCAACCTAATAGCCATGGCCTCCAACCCGATAGGAATAGGTACACCTGTTCCGAATCCTTGCGGCCTTTCCATGGTCCTCTCCACCTTTGTCTCGTCGAAGTGACTCGGCTCACGGCTCCCGGCTCCTTTGGTATGGTTCCATGGGCGACTTTCCCATGGAAAGCGTTTCCACCGGTTGCACCAGCGGTGAATACCGGTGTTCGCCCAGGCGCTCATCCACAAGCTCCTCCACCTCCCCAAAGAGCAGCTCCTCTGGCTGACGCCCCAAGAAAGCGAAGCTCACCCCGGCATCCATCAGCCTGGGCAAAAACCATTGAAGGCCGAGTCGGTGAAGGCAGAAAGAAGAGGTCTGGTCGTCGACCTCCAAGAACAGGTCACTCTCCAACTAGGCTATGCGGAGCTTAATGACTCAAATCCCTTCCGGGTGAACCGTAGCTTAAACAAGGCCTCGGCCGAGATGCTATCGTTGAGATCCAGAAGCTGCAGCGAAACAAACAACTATATAAGACCAAACAAGCAAGCTCACTGGTGTTTGGTGGTTTTCCAGCTTTTTAGAGTACCAATCTCCAAGTTGCAGTATCCTTTATTGGGCCCAATGGTGCCATTTTTGACCAAAAAACCTCCTACAACTCACCACACCCCACTTCTGGGATCCTCTCAAAGCGATTTCGCTCTTTTTCTCCTGGAAAAAAAGAAGTATGACTGTGACTGTGTGTGTGTGTCTTACCCACCTTGGATCTTCTTTTCGCAAGTGCTGTCATGAGACCACAAGGGCTGGCCAGCCACTTGCTCGCTCATCCGAGCTCCACAGAGCAAGCGAAAGGCGCTTGACAGATCGGACAGGCACTTGCGCTCGTGGTCGCTGAGCCGCGAGGGGTGACGGAAGGAAATGGTGAACTCCAGGTTGGAATACCTGCGAACAGCAGGTTGCGCTCGTTTTTTGGTTCTCCGATGTGAAACACCGTGTTCCCAAAGGTCCGGGACTGTCCACCCAAGAAGCCCGTAACGACCCGTAACGAACCCTCCCGCGCATCCGTGTTGGGACACCGCAGGACCCCACCTCCGGACCTTCTGCTCGGTTCTTCGGTGCTTCCCAGCAGAAGTCCGCAGGTGGTCCCGTCGGTCACCCTTCAAAAAGGAAAGATGCTGGCAGGTCAGAGGACGAAGGAAGAAAGGAAAAACCTGCATGAAAGAACGGAATGTCCAAGAAACCTGGTCCTGAAAGTCTAGCCCCAGAAGCTAGACTTAACATGACTGGACCGTTTCAATCCTTTTCATTTACAAAACCAGCCAGAGGTTCCAGAAGGCATAAGTTCTGCATAGTTGAAAGAACCAGGTATGCAACTTCCTGGAACGGGACAACTGTGTGCAAACCTTGTGGCCGCAGCCACTTCGGTGGTTTTCAAGCGACCGCTGTTCCAGAAGGCCAAGGCCAGGGCGGCATGGGTCCCCAATCAGCGGGCTTCTTTCCCTTCATCGAAGGCGTTCCGAACGGCCGTGGGGGCGGAACCGCCAGGGTCATTGAGGTCATCCGAGCAGCAGATTGGGCGGGGAAGCCTTGAGAATCAGAGCAGCCAACAAGTTGATCCAACTCGACCTAGCTGCGCTCGCGCCAAGGCTGGCGCCACACGCACCAACGACCCAGCTGGCAAGAAGACCTAGAGTCCTAGAGCCCATTTTACCTCTGTTCTGGACCACCAACCATCCAAAATATAATCTGTTCCACGCAGATGGCTGGGTTTTCGCACAAGTTGTGAAGGAATTGTGAAGACGCAAAACATTCATTGCAAACATTGGTCCTAGTTCTCATGTCCGACCTCATGGTATACAGGGCGAAATCACAGCAAAATGAGCTAGATCCTGGCGCTTATCCTGTGGACCGTTTCTGCACATGTGCTTTGTGGAACAAGGCTATCGGCTATGCTACCTGCCCCACGCCCTCACCAGGAGGAAGCACTTCACATCCCAAACAATCAAACATGTGGATGCTGCTTCCGAACTGAGCAGACCCTGCGAAGGATTTCTTCACCTTTAAGAGGGCGCTGAGACATGAGACTCAACATCTATCCGACTCAGTCCATCATGGAACTCCAACTCGGAAGTCCATCTTACGAAGTCCAAAAACATCTCTCCAAAGAAACATCCGCACGTTGGGGTGCAAGCCCCCAGCACCACCATGTTCGGACCCAGTGCGTCGTTGGGCCAAGGGGCTCTGCCGCATCGCCAGACCCCAGGAAGACCCTTTCCTCCACCACATTCTCTAGCAAGCCTTGGGTCAGAACTCGGTCGAAAGACTCCTTTTATGGCCTGAAAAGGGCCTGAAAACTGAATTGTCCTATGAGTCCGGCAGGGACAGCTGAATGTTCACTTGTCAGCTGGGTGCTAAATCAAAGCGGTGTCACCTCTTTTTGGTGCAAACATGGTTTCCAGTTTGATCCAATTTGATCCAATAAATTATCAAAAAAAATAGTGATGTCCAAAACCTAGGTACAGATCGCATTCGCAAAGCAGCTGAGCTTGTCTCGAGGCGCCCGAAAATGCTCCACCTCAGGGCTCTCCGGACCGGTCGCCGGGCGGAGAAGGCGTCAACGGCCAAACACTCGACCATCGAGTGAGAAGGATGGCAGACGAACTTGCGCGAAGGTTTTCTCTCAGATAGAAGAAAGGAATCTTTTGGTGAGAATGGTGCTTTTTGTAGGTTTGTCTCAAAAAGGCGCTGCACCTTCTTCAACTCGCCAGCTGCTTGGTCAAAGGTCTCTTGCTGTTTCGAGCTCAGCTTTGACACCTGCACCGTGGAACGGATCCTCCCATCCACGAGCCAGAGCCAAGTGGTCTAACGAGAGACTTATATATTGGGATACTTGAAAGGGCATGGAAAAATAGAAACGCAAAGCGAGTGGAACAGAGATTGATTGGGGTAGGTCGAGGCCTACTGTAGGCCCTACACCTACCGTAGGCCCTATCCTACCCTATCCGTACGCCACCCATGCCCAGACCCTACTCCAACCCAATCCGCACGCCTTATCCGGGGCCGTATGCAAAAAAACACTTTAAGACCCCCATGCAAAACGTCGACTCCTGGCAGCTGTTTGCTTAGCACGTGTGAGGAGTCTATGGGGCTACATAGCCCCCACGCTTTTTCGAGGAATAATTCAGAGAGGGTCAGGTATCAAGTCAAGTCGTCTGTATGTTGATGTGTCTGCAGGAAACGATTGGAATGAATTGTCCAGCTCAAAAAGGCATCATGACCCGCAACCACCACAAGGAGAAACCATGAGGGGCGAGAGAGGGAGAGCGAGAGAGCTCTTGATTAACTACTGGCCAATGCCAAACCTCGACATGTAAAGCTCCAAATCTCAGGTCACAATCATGAAAGAGACTCTCCGCCGCCCCACCTGCTGCAACAGCGGCGCCGCCGTTTCCCCTGCAGCTTCACTCAGTGCTTTCTCGGCACGCTCGTCCTCGCGGACATCTGCCGGGTCGTGGCGGAAAAGGAGCTTGAAGAGCTTCAGCACCACGAACTTCTCCTGCAGGGAAGTGAAGATCTTCTGAAAGGAACACACCAGTTCAGTGGTTTTCTGGGGGTGGAACAAGTATCTGAGGAAATTTGAGACAAACCAGGAACAATGGTGGGGATAAGCACACGTCATTTATTCATATACTCAAAATAAACTGTTGGGGAGTGCACTGGGACCATATTGCTGGTGCTATTCGCTCATGCGCAAGGTTGTGTTCACAGCAGCAGCAGCAGCAGCAGCAGCAACACGACGCAAAGGCAACCAACCAGTGCGCTGCTCAAAACAAGTAAAGCTCCTGCATATTCAACAACACCCACCACACTATGTCCATTGGTGTATTCAGTGTAAACAATTGTTTATATACTTTATAAACACTGACGGGTTCACTGGTGTTTGAGGTTTGTTGGTTGCCAAAGCCTATCACACCAAAGGTGGCGACATCCAAAGACTCGAAAGGGCCACAAGCTCACGAGTTGCACGCAACCACTTCTCGGTCGGCCAAGGGCAAGCCGCTTGACAGCGACACGACGTCCGAGCCCAGCCACCAACTCATGTCGGAAGAGGAGAGACCGAAGACCTGTTTGGTGGACCAGCGGAACAGGTTTGGGTCGTGCGACTCGTAACACGAGGGCCTACCGTATCTTCGTCTGACCGACCGCTCTGGCTTGACTGGCAGGATTCACAGTGAACATCCCACCCACCAAAAGGTACCACGAGTCGACACGTGTTTGACGAGTCGACACCACCAAAAAAGCTGGTTTGGGGTTTCTTGGCAGTCCAGACCCTCGCTGGCCATCTGCTGCTCTGCGTGTTGGAAAGCCTCGCAGCTCAAGAGTTTCAAGGTGACCTCCTTAGACGCCACAACTGACGCCACCAACGTGGTCGGTCGGTGCATGTCAGAGTGGCGAAGCACTGGATTTCCTCTTTTTCGATCGGCACGACGAGCTACCTCTCGCTTGCCCGAAGACATGGGGACATGCGGAAAAGACACTCTCCCCAAGGCGGAACTCCTGGTCAAAACTCAAAAGTTCTCAGGTTCCTAGAAGATTTCCTTGGCACGATCACGCTGATCAGATGGTTTGACGAAAGTTCCAACACAAGTGGGAGTCTCCGTATTGAAGGGGTCTACAAGTGTACCTCGCTGAAAACCAGCCGGACCAGCTCACAAAAACTAGGTCATTGCTCAAAGGTCCATTTCTCGAAGTTCCACGCAACTGAGAAACGTGTAGCTCGTCATCTCATCCCCCTGAAGGTTCATCCTCCAAAGAGACTTTTGTCCCAAATCTTCCGAGACCTATCCAACAATACCCACACAGAGGTGGTGACCCCTTCCGCCCTCAGGGCCCATCATTAGACGGGTCATTAGACGTAGGAAAGAGACCCTCCCACGCACCGGCCGCGACCACCGTGTCAGACCACCGCACCACACCGGCCGCACCGGCCGCGACCGCTCAACGGCCGCTCAACGGCCGCCGGCTCGACGGGCCCACTGACTACGCCGAGCCACCGGGAGGAAGTGATGAATCCGCCGCGCCGCCTGGACCCGCGTCAAATTAGCCGGGAACTCGTTCACCTCGGCCACCCGAACGCGCTTCGGTGAACGGACCCTTTTCCGCAGGGAAGGAACGCGCGCGCACGAAGCGTGCAAAGTGGGCGGAACTAAAGACCCGTTCGCCAGGGGCGCCGTGTTTTTGGGGAAGGGGGAGTCCCCAGCCCCTGAAGTGGGGAAGCTGAGTCTTGGCGTGGGAAAGAATGCACCAGGGTTTCTGGCAGAAATGCGAGTTTGTGTGTGTGTGTGTGACATGTCATGATCCAGATCATTACTGTACATGTAACACACAAACATATCAGTTACATGTGTGTGTGTGTTGATTTGTCTGACCCGGACTGCAGGGACTGACCGACAAATGGAGATGTTCCTTTCGGCCACTGCGCCACCGTGGCGGATCCGACCGTTTTGAGGATGGGTGGACGGGACGTTTTGAGGGAAAACACACAAGGATGGGTGCCTCATGTTGTGGTGTACATATGATATATCACATAGGGTCATATAGGATCATATAGGGGATTCATCCAAATGTGATACATCAAGTTTACCAATAAAGGTGAACGGCCGGTGCCTTTGCCTGCCACCAAAAGCGACGCTTGCTCGACATCTCTGCCGGGCAGCGAAGTCCCGTATATCGTTCACCACACCTGGGGGAACGAGTGGAAAGCGGGGATGGAACTGGGTCTCCAGGGCCACTGAGAATCAGCTTTTGAACGCTGAGCGGGGGTAGAATCAGTTGAAGTTCTTTGGTGGAATAGCTGGCCAAAACATACCAGGGCGAGAAAAAGCTGAGAGAAGGGCATTGCGCTGAAGGGTGCTTCAAGAGCTCGAGGAAGTGGGCATGGCTATAACCTGGGCCTTCCTCTGTCTCTTCGGCCATGGCGCAACGGCAGCTGCTTCCGTTGAGAAACAAGTTCGTATGTGCTCTGCTTAACTGGCAGTTTGGAAGTCTTGCTCGAAAAAACGAAAACAGCCAGGAACCGTCATCAAAACGAACCCTTTCCGATCGACCTCTGATTCGTCATATCGAAATGGAACTAAGCACCAACATACGCCAGCTCATAGCTTCAATACATAACTTGGCGCTCCGGCTATTGCCTTTCAAGAACCTCTTTTGGCTTTCTGAGGCTGTATTGAGTTCTATCGTCGACTCTCAAGTGAGTGTTGAAAAAGGTTCTCAAAGCACTGCAGGTCGGCAGTGACGCTGTGCAATGAGACGAGCCAAGACGAGCAGACTTTTTGAACGTTGAAAGGAGCACTCCACGCACCGTGCTGGCGGCTTTCTAAAGAGCATGGAAGCTTCCTTTCACCAGGTCTCTCAACAAAGGCCTTTCTTTTGGCAATTTCTTCCAGTCTCTGAAGCCTTGCCACCTCCATTGCTGAAGACCACCATCCAGATATTTCACCGGATTCCGGTCATCCAGAGACCACAAAAAGCCGACACAACTCACCGTCGACGCTCCCCAAAGAGAGAAAGACACTCGGTCTGCAATGCCTGGTTAAACTCTAAGGCGTCCAGAAGATCGTTTAACTTCCGGTTCTTCTCCTGGAACGAAAGAGAAAGAAACACATCGACACGCCACAGCGGGCCAAATACTGCGCTGGGCACGTTTTGGGTTCGCTTCAATCCAATAACAGCAAAACCCTCGCAACCAAAACAAGTGGACTCTGAAATAAGGAACGAAGAGACGCCAAACAGTCGGCCAGGAAGAGAACGCCACGGCCTTCTCGGTGAGTTTCACGTAGTACTGCAAGAGTCCATGCAAGGTGAGCTTCGACTCTTCATCCACCCGAATCTCATGTGGATCCTGCACGGGAGCGCGGAGGGAGGGGAGAACTCCCGAAGAACCCAGAAATCTGGGGCGGATGTCAGGTAGTACGGACGGGTCAATGGTTTTTCTACGGTCAAAAGAAAGGTTCTACACAGATAGATAGACAGACAGACAGGCAGGCAGGCAGGCAGGCAGACAGGCAGAGAGGCAGAGAGGCAGAGAGGCAGAGAGGCAGAGAGGCAGAGAGGCAGAGAGGCAGAGAGGCAGAGAGGCAGAGAGACAGAGAGACAGAGAGACAGAGAGACAGAGAGGCAGATAGATAGATAGATAGATAGATAGATAGGTAGATAGATAGATAGATAGGTAGATAGGTAGATAGGTAGATAGGTAGATAGGTAGATAGCTAGATAGCTAGATAGCTAGATAGCTAGATAGCTAGATAAAGAGATAGAGAGATAGAGAGATAGAGAGATAGAGAGATAGAGAGATA